GGGGACATGATCGCTGCAGCGCAAAGGCTCCTGGGCCGTGCGCAAAAGCTCCTGGGCCGTGCGCAAAGTCTCCAGGGAAGAGACACCCTGCCACCCCTGCGCGCGCTCAGCGGGCCACGGTAAAATTATCAAAGGCTGACTGGTCCGCGGCGATAAAAAGGTTGGGGACCACTGCAATAAAGCATGCTGCATATGTGTGTAGTTTATAACTGGATGCTTGAAGTTATTTAACACATTTCTTAGCAACAAAGTTCACAGCAAGCTGAAGCTAACTAATTCTACAACAAATATAACAAAGTATCACCAACTTTTTCCTCATTCCCACATTTTTAAAAGTATGCTAAATAAAAGATTAAATATCCTCATTTATCTATCACAGAATTATGATCATATATATCCCCCCAACTCATCTTCAAATCATTATTCCTTGCCATTGGTTAGATAGGTGTCCTTACAAACTAGGTCTTAGTTCACCTAATTTAAGCCTTACTGTTTTAATGGATTTCAGATTCAAGCCAAATGCTTAGCTATTTGCAAAAGCAAATAAAGCAACCCCTTTTTATCCAACATCAGAAATTTGTAAGAATTCACCTGACATAAGAGCCCTTTGGAAAGCATTACACAGAGTAATTGCCACATACATTCTCCACTCAATACCCTTCTAACTTCACAAGCAAGAGATCAAGAGTAGCACTGGCAATAAACAGTGTATGAACAGGTTTATCCTGGACAATCTCTGATATAACCTATATGTGCATAAAATGAGCCAAGTCTTGATCAAGGGTACTCGGTTTATCAAACAATATGACCCAATTACAGGTAATCCTCGACTTGCAATCACAATTGAGCCCCAAATTTATGTTATTAAGCAAGACATTTGTTAAGTAACTTTTGCTCCATTTTACGACCTTTCTTGCCATAGTTGTTAGATGAATTACTGCAGTTAAGTTAGTTACAGGATTGTTAAGTGAATGTGGCTTCCTCATTGGTTTTGTCAACAGGTCACAAAAAGTGATCCGGGACACTGCAACAGTGATATGAACCAATTGCCAAGTATCCAAATTTTGCTGTAACGGACATATGTGTGAAAAATGGTCTTAAGTCACTTTTTTCAGTGCCGTTGTAACTTCAAACTGTCACTAAACAGATGGATGTAAGTCAAGGACTGGCTGTATTTCTGGGAACCATTAGGCTCTGGTACATTAGGATCTGGTACATCTTGACAGATCTAACCAGTTTGCAGAAATGGGGTGATATTATCATCCCACAAATAAAAGTTGCTTGAAATATGCTTAGAGACAGAGTTCATAACTTGTGGGGATGGAATAATACACTGTAATATGAATTGGGATTTAATATAGATACAGACTCAGACAGTATAGTTTATTCTAATTTCAGTGGTATATTATATTTCTACCTGTCAGAACTATAAGTTTGAATTCCACATCCTCTGTAGAAACAGGGGAACAAACATATGGATCTACCTAATTCAGCATCGTTGGCACCAACTGGAGGCATCTCTTCAAGTTCCCAAGTAGGAATTTTTCCAGCCCTTTTACTCAAACACTCTATATGCAAAACATAGTCACCATTGGGAAATGACTTAGTTAATATATATATCTGAGAAGGAGGGGTTGTGATTATATGTATAAATGCATATTCTGTTTCTGGGAAGCTTATTTTGTATAACCTGCTTAACAACCATGTCTATTTGTAGGGATGAGCCTTCCTTATGAAGGCTATATAGGGCTATATTAATTATAATGTATTCTAGAATTTTATGAGAAAAAATATCTGTTTTATTTCATTAAGTAAATTTTATTTTGCAATGATAGCCAATGCATATATTTACTGTAACTTTGTTAACGTTATCAAAACTAACACTGCAATAATGATCTTTATTTCAAAACAAAGATAAATATTTGCCATTGTATCTTTTTCAGTGGAAATCTAAATGCAGAAAAGGATTCTTTACAATTAATTTATAAAGAATCATTTTCTGCATTTAGATTTCTAGTATTTTTATACAGTGTGCAGCATTCACATTACAAATGGCTATTATGTGTTAACTACAGAGCTCAACATCAATATTTTTATTTTTGCTTTTCTTTCAAGTTAGTTAATATTAAATCACTGAGTGTAATCTAAAAGTCCATTTGGGACAAGCAAACAAATGGGAAGGGGGATTCTTTTATATATGAATTTAGAATTCATTTCCAAAATGATGAACAGTGGTGATGAAAAATAATTTAAATTATTTTCCAAAAGAACTACATTCATAGATATAGCATAAGTTATAATAGCAATGTAAAACCACAATGTTAAAATGGAGTACATCTTTAAATAACACTTACATAAGGCCATACTGCAGAGACTGACTTTCATGACCTGCTTAATGGTTAAGTGGAAACATTTCGTTCCTTATAGTGGGAGTAAAAACTACATCTTTGAACTGTTCCAAGCAGGGCTTTTCTTGTGCTCTGTGTCCCTCTTTTTTGTGGCAGCCCGGTCCCACCCTAACTTATTCTGTCAGAGACCATCTGACTCTTCCTATAAATGCTCACCCACACCAGCGTTTAACGCCACTCCCGGGCAGCCTAGTGGTCATGTCCTACTTTTATAGCCATTTCTAGTTGCAAGCCATTTCTAGATGGATGTACCCATCACCTCTCCTTTTCTAGTCCAACCTTCTCAAGCGCTGGAAATGCCCAACAGGATTTCTCTCTGGTGTTCACTTACGACGGAACAAGCCTATTCCTCCTCAGGGAAGGGGATGTGGGGGGACCGAGGCAGCCCCGTCCCACCTTCATCTAGGCCTCTGCCACACCAGGTTATCCCTATCCCCCGCCTGGCGGTGTCTCCGGGGGATACCCGAAACCCCTCCCTCCCTCGGAGAAGCGGAGCCAGCAGCAGCCATTCGGTGCAGGCCCCGCCGTGGCACATAAGGAGCAGAGCTCCAGCCGCAGGCCCCTTCCTTCCCTTCGCAGAGAGGGAGAAAGCCTGTCCCCCACCCCGCCCCGCCCGGGTCCTCCAAAGAGCTGGAAGGTTTTAATTGGTCTGGCCTCCAGATCGCCTCGCTCCCTCCGCCCGCCCGCCCGTTGCCAAATCCCTCGGTGCCTCACCTGCCAAAGCCAGGATCTGGGCCTTGTGCAGCGGCGGCCGCTCTCCCCACTCGCCGGGGCTCTCGTCGCCGTCCTCGGGGTCGTGAGCCGGGCTGCGGTAGACGGTGTAAACCTTCTGGTTGTCGAAGTCGAGCCGGGATTTGGGGCTGAAGTCCTGCACGCACGACACGGGCAGCGCATAGCACACGTTGTCCTCCAGGAACCGGACGAAGGCGTACATCATGAAGCGGGGCTGCGACCTGAGGGGGGGAGGGGAAGGGGGGCGAGGGGCGAGAGGCTAGCGGCGGGGGTGGAGGAGGAGGTGAGAGAAGGAGTGGGGCGGCCGTTTCTTTGCTCTCGCAACCCCGGCTCTTCTGTTATTGTTCCTGGAAGCCCTGCTCGGCGCTCGGCTGAGCTAGTCTAGGCGGCAGAGCCTCCACTTCTTCCCAAGGCAGCCGGGATTCGGGCTTCCCGCGACCAGTCGAGCGCCGAGCGAAGCGAGCCTCAGTCTAGCGTGCAGCTCGCAGAATTGGCCGGCGCGGGCGAGAGAGCGAGTGCTGCTTATGGCACAAGCAGCAGGAGCTGCTGCGGCGGCGGCCCTCTCTTTTTCTCTCTCTCTCTCTCGGGCAGGAGGGGGGAGAATTTACGGCGACGGGCGATTTGGGGGAACATAGCTTTGGAGTTCAGTGTTGCTGCCGCCGCTTTCTCCGCCCCAGGCCCGCTCTCAGCAAAAGAAGGGTGAGAGGAAGGCAGTTTGCAGGCCGGTGCAGCGACTGCTCTCCCATGCCTACAGTTACTTAAAGGGACCCTTCTCCCTCTCCTTTTTTAGCCACCTAGAGTGGATAAAGCTCGCCAAATCCAGTCCTCTCTGCCGCCCCGTCCGGTTAAGACGGAGAGGACTGGGTGGTGACTTGGGGGGCGGAGGGGTCTTGCAGAGTTTTCACAGCCATTTTCCAGACGAAGGGGAGCAGGCGATCTGTTTCTGTGTAGTTGGCCCATAAGGTGGCTTTGGGCGATGCACTTGCCTTTAACCCTGCAGGTTGGATGGCAAGAGTGCAATCAAAGTGGAGTGGGAAGTGGAGATGGCTTCTTGTGAGCTCTGGGGCAGACAAAAAACAAGCCACCGGGTGGATTTGCCTCTAGAAAGGGCAGTAAGGAAGCCTGGGCCCAGCGCGAAAATCCCAAGAATGGGCTTCTCTTATCCTCTACCACAGCAGAGAACATTGAGTCCAAGAGACCCATCCAAAAATAAAAGGAAACTGGACTCTTGCAAAGTTTGGTTGCCTAGTGAAATCAAATAGATGCTGCTTTTGCAAAATAACAGCCATCTCCTTCCACTCAGACAAGTTTTTTTTTTCTGTCACCACAGCAGCCTTCTGCTATCCTCCCACATTTTTTTGTCTGCCAATATAGCAAAGCTTGTTGGGTTGAGAAAAAAAATGAGACTGGGCCTGATACCTTGGCAAAGACCCTTATCCATCTTTCTCTCTGGGTGATCCCAATCTATAGCATACATTTTATCTTCTTAGGCCCACAAATCATTTCTCAGAGAAGTCACATTTTGCTCAATCAAGGACATTGGCAGTTCATGACAATTTCACTGAAAAAACAGTAGTGCTTCATTTGCACTGCATACTTACTCATGCTTAACTGAATCGTCTTTTATTCAATATAATTGTATTAGTTCACATGACAAACAAGCTGAGTAATATATGTTGACTAGTTTGTAGTTTATGTACCACATAAGCAGAGCTAAAAACTGCTTCAAGACAGCTTTACTAGACCAAACTGCTACACTTGACAAAACAAGAAGATAATACATCCACATCATGCCAAAAGTATTTCTAATCAATATCCTAGAGCCAAATTCACCACTTCCAAGGCTCAGTATATTCTGTGAACCCATAAACTCAGTTTTCAACAGGAGAAGGTTGATACTAACCACCACTCCAAGATACATGTGTTACTCATTAGTCAAAGACTAGTATGAATCCAGGAACCCCAATCCAACAGTTAGTCATATGCAGGAAGGAAATAAATAAATAGCATTAAAGGCATGGGACTGAATCTGCCTCATTTTAACATGCTTTACTTGAATCAAAAAGATGGGAGGGCTTCAATCAGCCTGGTCATATCCAATCTTTTTATGCTATTGACTTACCTTGTGGATGCCTCTACTAACAGTAAAAGTCATGATTAGTAGCTGTTTTTGTAGGTTCTCCAGGATTTCATGCTGATCATATATTGAAGGAACAATTAACTCTCACCTAAGTAGTTCATATGATACGGGGAATTACCTTAATCCCAAAGAAGACTAAGTCTGGAACTAAATCTAATTTCCCACATTAAATTGACTAGACTGTTTAATTCAATTTTCTTATTGACCTGGTGTGCTTACCATCCTACCTCCAAGATCCAGTTAAGTATTCTACATGGGGAAAATCAGGTATAATTGCGCAGTTTTCAGTGTATAGGCTCATCAGTAATCCTTACTCCTGCAATTGGGATCACATTACAGTAATGTAGTTTGATTTTTATTTAGTATGTTGTATATATCGAGCTAATTGTAGTTCATGAAATAGAGTACTATGAAATTAATACTTGTTGCATACATACATACATATATACACAAACACACACAAACATACTGCTTTGGTGGTAATTGCAAAGGCTATAAGTATAATTTTCAGTAAAAAAAAATCTGCTGTGAGAAAAAAGTAAGCTTTTTCACTCACAGTGAAGAATAACACATCTTAGATAATTTTTAGTAACAACTATAAAACATGTCCCATCCTATCCCATATAGATACTTTTTGTAAGTTTAATGAAAACACACAATTTAAAAAACAGGAAAATGGTTTGATAAAACAGAAACATCATTTGTTCAATTATGACAATAGATACTTTGTAAAATGCCTTATGTATGAAAGATATATATATCAATGATCTGAACAGTTTAGATAAATTAACAACAAATGGACATACAATTGTGTAAAGATTATTAGTTGACAAATAAAATCTTTCAATCTATAAATTAGTTTAATTTTCATACTTTCAGCTTCCCCTGGAAAAACAGGGTCTTAAATGTAAGAGCATCTGCATGTAAAGCAAAGTCTCTCACTGAGCTACAGCTTTCCTTTAATCTTGGAAACACTGAGAAGCAATCTATAGGGGTATTAATGGAGAATATTAATATACTTTGCCAGAGTTTGGAGCTCACAATCAGTTTTTCTAATAATATTGTCCATGAAATATACTAGAGCTTTTTTTTTGAATGAGAAGTCAGTCTGACCCAAAGACCCACCGACCTCCAGCAATGGCAGCAATACTGACTTCACTGCCCAAGGAGGACAATGATGTAGCACTAAAGCCAGAATGGCACACTTGCAGGGGAAATATGGCTATATGAATAATTCCATACACAAATCATTCCATATGTGAAACAGCTTTGGGTGATCCATGACCCTACGATTGTGCATTTTGTTCAGTCCAGACCTGAAACATTTAATAAATCTAAAATAATTGTTTTCCAAGTAAGAGGTGTTTGGAGGCAGAGAGGATGGTTGTGGTTTTGCCCAGACTAATTTCTTGCAAATTTCTAGGCCATAAAGTGTGCCTTCTGAATTGAAAGCACATTTTCCATTTTGTTCCGTGAAGGAGAAGCAACATCTGACTGCCTCCTGACTGGCTAAGAGAAATGAGGCTAGCTTTCTCCCCTATTGCCTTAAGCAAGCAAGTAAAGGCATTTTTATTCAAGCACCTAAAAACAGATTGTCAGTAAATTTTAACTGATGTGATGGGGATTTTTTAAATTGATGATCAATTATAAACTCTGCACCTTTATTTTTATTCTTGCTAACTACCTGAAGGACTATGACAATTCACCACAGCCAACTCACCACAGGCAACTTGCCATAGCTACCTCGCCACGGGACAACTCATTGCGGAACAAGAATTACACTAAGGTCAAAGAAATTGTGGAATAAAATTATTAAAGAATGGATGCAAAATGTGGGACAAAATGAAATGTGAATGACAGAAATTGAAATATTTTTAATTTATTTTAAATAATTAAATTGAATTGTTAAATTGTCCTGTGGCGAGGTGTCCCACAGCAAGTTGGCATTGGTGAGTTGTCTATGCTGAGTTGGCTGTGGCAAGTTGTCCTATTCCAACTATCTGATGCACCAGGTCAGAGAGAAATAAATAAATAAAAGCCCACCTTCCTACATTTAATAACATTTTAACTTTATTTGCAGCTTAGCCTTGGTTCTATTCTCTAGGCAATAGACAAGAGTTGGACATCACTGCAGCAAAGTTCTTTACTATTACAAGCCTTGATAACATAACGTTTTGCTATATTGCTTTATCATCAAGACCTGCATTACACCAGAAATTCACCAAGAAATTACCAACAAAAGAAAAATTTGCGGTCTTTCAAATGGATCCCTCTCAAGTGTTCACAAACTGCACTACAACTACCATCTATTTCAACTTCCCCTTAAACCTACATATGGCAGTGGAATAAACACTGTAATACTATACAGAACTACTCTATACTGCACTACCCATCTCCCAAAGTGGGCTTAACAATAGCTTCTGTTATTAGGCTCATCCTGGCAAAAATAGTTTCTCAATTATTGCAACATGCCTATAATAACAGTGACTTTACCCTGCATAAAACTTTCAATGTTAGAATGATTTTTAAAGTAAGAATTGAGTAAAAAGTATCATACGCTCTTGCCTTTCTTCCCTTTTGAGGCTGGGGCAGGAGATATGCTGCTGCCCACTGCTAAAACAAAAGTCTGAATTCATGGAATTGTGTTTTTTGTAATGAGCAAGGAAAATTACTATCAGGGGAGATTTAAAAAAAATATTTCCCAGG